AGCTGAGCCTTTGGCTGTGGAGGTGGAGGTAAATAGCGTGGTCAATCTCAGAGGGATTTCTCAATTCTTCTGGCAGCTGGCTGCGTGGCCTCCCTGCCTCAGGCTCTGGTCTGAACTGCTCAGCAGGTGACCTTTGGCCAGCTCACTGGACCTTCTGTGCCCGCTGTCCCATCCTGGGGCCAATATAAAACAGGTCAGGGCCCTCCCGCTTGCATGATCAGTTTATCCCTAGAAGCAACTAGCTACTCCAGGTAATGCCCCTGGGGAGGACAGGAAGGGAGGGAGGGGACAGAGAGCCAGAGGAAGCCTTTGCCAGCCAGCCAGGTAGCCTATGAAAGGCTTGTGATCCATGAGTAGCCTCCACCCTTGGGTTCCTGGGGGGTGGGGGAGGGCTAGAAGTTGAGGAAGGGGAGGCCACTGGACCAAAAGCCCTGCACTGGGTAGTGGCAGAGCTGACTGGAACTGGGTCACACTGTCTCTTGCTCAGCATGTCCAGAGCTATTGGAAGCCTTTGACATTCATGTCTACTCCAGACAGAAACACTGAGATCTAGGAAGGGACAGAAACCTGAAGTCACCCAGCACATCAGGGGAGAGAATGAGCAGATGTTCCATTCTGTGGAGGCTTTCTACACCCAACCTTCCACCCTACCCTGGGGCCTGGATCTCCTATAGTTCCCTGTCTGAGAGCAGATATCATTAGGAGAGGGGCTTGGGATTCACCCCAGGGCCCATGGCAGTCTCCAGGGAAGGGCCTCAGTAGGGTGGATCCTTCCACAGATTCCTCTCACAAGCAATTTCCTGCAGGTGCATAGGTGCCATGCAGCCCCGGGTGCTCCTCATCGTGGCCCTCTTGGCGCTCCTTGCATCTGCCCGTGAGTTTTGGGGGTTGGGGCTGGGGTTTCTATGAGAGCTGGTCTGGGAACCCTGTCCTGATGAGTGGGGGCTGCGGAGGAGCTGTGGGCTGGCAGGGCTCAGCTCCACTCTTTCGCAGGAGCTGAAGAGGTAGAAGGGTCCTTGCTGCTGGGCTACGTGGAACAGGCCGCCAAGAAGGTACAGGATGCTCTAACCAGTGTGCAGGAGTCCGAGATGGCTGTGCAGGCCAGGTATGCCTACTGGTGCTCTTCTCCTGTTTCCTCCCCTCCTCCCCCTGCCCTTTTCTTGAGACTCCCACACAGAGACTGCGGTTCCCCCAGTTTACCCAGGGTCTGGGCCTGTCTGAGCCTCTGCTCCTTTGTGGGGCCTTTTCTGGGTACTGTGGCTGAGGTGAGAAGCAGAGCAAGCAGCCCTCTTCGGCCTCCTTTGCTTCTCCCTGGAGCAGCCTCAGGTACATAGAGCCCTGGCTGCACCTTCTCTTCTCCAAGCATGGGGCTAGCGGCTCGCTTGGGGGTCCACCTGCTCTAGTTTCAGCCTGTGTTGCAGGGCTCTGCCCCTGGTCCAATCTGTGTTAGACATCTGCCTACTATGGGTCCGGTCCTCACCCCTGCCTGCTGGCCCAGGGCTTTGAACTGACATTTGATATTGACCTATGCAGCAGAAGATGCTGACAAATGTTCTTTGTCCCCAGAATGGGCTGTGGAGAGGGTATGATTTCCCCAGCTTTGCAGGGGAGAAAACTGACTCCGAGAAGTTAGGTGATCTGGCTAGATCGCACAGCTCATGGGTCCTCCAGTAACTTTTCAAATGAGAGGCTGCCCCCCTCTGCCCCACACGTGCAGAGCCAGCGATGGGACACCTTCAGGACACTATTTACACTGACCACAAAGACAGGCTGACCTTAAGCATCACCCTACCCTCAGGCCTGAAAGGGGTTTGATGTAGTGGGGTTGGGCAGCCACTAAGGTCTGGTCTAACCAGGGAAAATGTAGAATTCTACATTAGGCTGCCCCTTCACCACCTTTGCCATCTCTTCCACCCTAGGAGTTAGCTGCAGGCATTTCCCGGCTGGTGTTAGATGAGGTGGTGCTGATGGCTTGGAGAGCCAATAGGGCTCTGTGGTTCTGGCTGCCTGCAGGGGAACCTTTCACAGGGACCTTGATGGATGCCTCTTATTGCTTTAACCCCCAGGGGCTGGATGGACGGTGGCCTCAGCTCCCTGAAAGATTACTGGAGCACCTTTACTGACAAGTTCTCCGGCCTCTGGGATTCTACCCTCAAGGCCCAACCAACCCCAGCTGCTGAGCCTTGAGACCTCTATATTCCAAATGTACCTGTATGTCCATCCTGTTTGCCTCTGGGCAGGCTGGGTGTCCCCCGAAGGTTGCTTGGAAGGAAAAGCATTCTCGTGTTTTCACCCCTTCCCCAGACCTCACCTAAACAGACTGCTCCTAATAAAGCTGGATGAGAAGCTGCCATGAGTGGGGGTGGCCCACGGACCATGATGTCTGGGCATGGGAGTGGACCTGGGCTGTGCCTCCTCTGCCTCTTTAGTTGTCTCCAGGGCATTTCTTCCTTTGTAAGTCGGACTAGTTCTGTTTACCTGCTTGCCTTGATGTGGTAGGTGAGAGAGCAAATCAGGCAACAGAGTTGCAATTACATCCTGTGACAAACTGTCAAGTGGGGGGACAATGTGTCTTGAGTAGGGATACTGTCTAGCTGGCCCTTCAGAGTTGAGGTCAGATATGATCACGAAGCCTGTGTAACTGGTTTGCGTGCTCCAGGCTGCCTGGTGCCATGAAGCCCACTGAGAGGAAGGAAGCAGGGTGGGAGGCTGGTTGGCTAAGTCTTTGACCCCACCACATCGCAGCTGCCTCCATTTCTTATGTATAAGGTGGGCACAATCCGCCCCCTGCACAGCAGGCTTGTTATGAAGATGAAATAGTAGCGTTCAAAAGCACGAGGCGTAGCGTCTGTGCAGTCCAGGTGCCTGGTAAGCAGTCCTCACTGTGGTAGCTCAACTGCCTGACCCAAGGTCCTGGGAGTCCCAACAGGGTTGTTTACTATGTTCCCACCACCCCAAAGCACTGACTTTAGAGAGATCCAGGGTCACAAAACAGGTCGCCCACCCTGTAGAATCAACGACCAGTGTTCAGAGAGGTGACAGGGACTGCCCTGGGTCAAGAGCAAGCACACTGCAGGGCCAGACATCCATTTTCCACTTTGTGGTCATGGGAAAAGCCTCTGCCAGGTGTTGGCGGCTCCTTTCTGGACAGCACCAGCACACCCAGCTGCCTGGACTGCGTTCTCTCTGGAAATCCAACAGGGGCTTCTCTTCCTGACCGCCCAGAGCTGGCAGTCTCAGTGTCCACACCTGGAAGCCTTCTTGCCCAAACCTGGCTTGATACCTGTTGTCGCTCTGTGTGATTAGGGGCTTAAAAGTCCATCACTTCATCCAAGGGCTCATGAAGATACACTGGGGATGGGAATGGAGCCTTGGGAGGAGGGAGAGGGACTCCCCGGATGTGTGAAGACCACCTGCGTACTAACACGGGGATGAAGAGGGGCCAGTCGAGTGAGAGAAAGGTTGTTCCTGTGAGAACGTGCATACATCCTCACCTGCATGAACACGAGTACTTTGTTACACTTAAAGTAATTGTGTGCGCCCACAGCAGGCTGGTCTAAATAATGAACAACCCGGGCTTGGTGTGTAGCTGAGTTGGTAAAAGGCTTGCCTGGCATGCACAAAGGTCTGGGTTTGAGCCCCAGCACTGCATAAACTTGGCATGGTGGTACAGCCCTGTACCCCTGTATCCAACACTTGGGAGACGGAGGCAGAAAGATGAGAAGTTAAAGAGCATCGTTGGCTGCAGACTGGGTTTGAGGCCAGCCTGGTCTGTCTGAGACGCTGTCGCAGGAGGAAATGAATAAATAAGTAACTAAACAAGGACTGGCAAGATGGCTCAGGTGGTAGAGGCACTTGCTACTCTAATCCAGGTGGCCTGAGCTTGGTCTTTGGGACCCACGTGGTGGACAAAGAGAACTCCTGTAAGTTGTCCTCTGAGTGCCACAAGTGTTCTGTGGCACGTGAAAACCCACACACATTAAATAAATGTAATAAAAATTTAAATTACACTTATTTATATTTGTGTGTGTGTGTGTGTGTGTGTGTGTGTGTGTGTGTGTGAGTCCCAAGGACTAAATTCAGGTTCTCAGGCTTGGTGGCAATTGCCTCTACTTTGTGAGCCTGCCATCTTATTAGCCCAGTGTAATAAAAGTTTGTTTTGTTTTTCAAGACAGGGTTTCTCTGTGTTGTGCTGGCTGTCCTGGTTCTCTGTAGACCAGACTAGTCTCGAACTCACAGAGATCCTCGTCTGCCTCCTGAGCTTCAGGATTAAAGGTGCAAGGACAATTCATCCCGTCCCACCTTTCCTTCAGTGACTAACTTCAGCATCAGCTCCCCAGCAGACATGGACATTCGTGATTTGAAGATGGATATGAAGGCCTCTCTAATAAACGTGGGGATCAGTACCACGAAGGGTTTTTGCCCAGCTGGCAGGTAGAGTGGCTAAAGCCACGGTGACAGCTGCCTTTCACAGCCGGCCAGTTTCCGAGTGGGGGGATGACTGCGTGGGAGTCTTGCCGGAGGGAAAGAAAAAGAGAAGTTTGATGAGGGGGTTGGAGTTCATTCATGAAAGAGGGTTAAATTCCAGGCATTTTATTTGCACTTGTCCAATAATTCCAGTCTCTTTGGCTAATTGAGGGATCCTGGCTCTAGGGAGTGGAAGATGCTCACACATCGTCTGCCCAAGTGGACCTCACCTGGAAACACTTCTGGCAGAGGAAACCGGTCCTTTCCCAATCCGAGCCTCAGCACTAGGGGTTTGAGCCTCTGTGGGGGCACTTTTCAAGGGGCTCCCTGTTACTTTGCCTGGCCATCTATTTCCCTCCGAGCCTTCTTAGGACAGGGATTCTGTCTCACACTCTTAATCAGCCTCGTGCCCAGCCTGAGTGAGCTTGGAGAACTGAGGAGTCCTGTACAAAGGAATCCCCATTGCAGTACCACGTCCCTGCATCACTGGATGTCCCTTTAGCGATCTATGTCCCCCAAAGAAAGAAGCCATCCCATTTTGGAAAGATTTATTCTAAGAAAGCTAATGCAGGGGTGGGGAGCGGAGGTGGGCTCCTCACTGGGCGCTCAGCTTCTTGCTGGCTTGGTCGATCATATTCATTAATCTGACCCTGAAGCTCTCCAGCACGGGCATCACGCCCTGGCGCAGGTCCTCCAGAGCAGGTTTGGCCTTCTCGCTGAACGTCTTCAGGTGTTCGGTGGCCTTGGTGTGGTACTCTGCGAGGGTGGCGCTGTCCTTGAGTCGGGCCAGGTGCTCAGCCAGGCGGTCGCTTATCTTGTCGCTGTAGGGCGCCAACTTTGTGCGCAGAATGTCAACGTGCTGGCGCATGCGGTCACGAAGATCCTCGCCCACAGGGGCCAGCTTCTCCTGCAGCTCCTGCAGCTTCTGGCGCGCGCCCTCATGCAGCTCGGCGCCCAGAGGCTCCACTTTCTGGCGGTAGCGAGCCACCTCCTCCTGCCACTTGCTCTGGAATTCGTCCAGATAGGGCTGCACCTTTGTCTTCACCTCCTCCAGGTCCTTGTTCATCTCCTGCCTCAGCCAATCGGTTTCCTTTTCCAGGTTATCCCAGAACTCCTGAGTCACCGGGCCCAGCTGTTCCTGCAGGCGACCAACGGATGAGCCCAGGGTGTCCCAGTTCTCCAGGAGATTCAGGCTGGAGGAGGAGAGAGCAGCTGAGAAAAGGCCCCAGGCATCCTCCACTGCCCCACGTCTGGGGCAGTCCTGAGTGCCACCTGTTTCCGGAAGTGCAATTGTTGTATCTCTAGTTTCCCGGGACATGCACCCCTCTAACTCCCTACCCCTGCTTCCACATCCCTCTGTACACATGGCCTGAGGTAGCAAGGACACAGATGGGGTCCTTGCCAGGCCAGTTCCCTTTTTGTGCTGCCTGACCAGGACTGGGGGTTACCCAGGGGAAGGGAATTTTGCATTCATAGGCAGAAAGAGGGGCTGTGGTTACCCACCACCCAGGTGAATCCCATCCCTATTCCTTCATTGGAACCTGCCATCGTGCCCAAATGGTAGGCTAGCAGGTGAAGATTTGGCCAGTTAAGTTACAGCATCTTCTCACAGGCCTCTTTGCCCACCCTAGATGGACAACCTTTGCCCTGCTCCAAGGTCCCAGGCTGGGTCCTTTCTTACTTCAGCTGTTTGCCCAAGGCGGAGGTTTCAAACTGGGACACATAGTCTCTGCCGGTGTCTTTGACCGCATCCACATACACAGTGGCGAAATCCTTCACTCTGTCCCAAGAGCTCTGGGGGGGCTCATCTTGCTGCCAGAAGTGCCGAGCCTGGCTCCCTGGGGATGCAGGAGAGACCTATGTCAGACCAGCTCCTGGCTGGGATCTGAGCTGAAGAGTCAGGAAGGAGACCAGAGAGAATTCTGTTCTCTGCCCAGGAAGGTAGGCCATGGGGGCCTAAGCAGAAGCCCACTCCACTCCAACTGTTGCTTCTCTAGGCTGGAGGTACCTACCTGTCAGGAAGAGCACAGCCACGGCCAGCACCACAGCTTTCATCTTCAAGGGTGTGGGTGACCTGAAGAAATAGAATTGCTGGGCTGAAGGGGAGCCCCTCACTTGCACCCCACATTCAAGCCAGTGAAAGAATAAGGGTGTAGAGTGGGAAAAGGCCCAGATACCCACAGAGTGGAACATCCCTTGGGAGGCACTAGGGAGCCAGAGTAGCCTAGGGCAGGTAGCCAGCCTCACTTACCTCCCTGGAGCTCTCCAACAGTCCCGGAGTGAGTGCCCAGCTCATCTCCCCTGGCCTATTTATGTCTGTAGGCAGGGGCTGGGCTGGAAGACTGATAAGCCCAACCCTGGCCCTCTCTCTGCTTACTTGTCCTGACGATGTGGAACTTAAGAGTTCAAGGATCAGCTGTGTTCCTGAGGCTGGGCAAACAGAGTGGGCAAACAGGAAGCTGCGGGGGCTGCAGAGCTGAGATCAAGGGTTCAGGTGGGGGCAGCAGGGGAGCGGCTGCACACTCAGGGGGTCCCCAGGATTAAGGCAGTCGACTATCCTTTTCCTGTCTATGCGGGGAGCAGGGGGGGGGGGTTAGGGAACTTTGGGCTCCTGCACTCACACTCCCTCTCCAAAGTTTCTTGCATTACAAGGAGTTGATCCTTTCACCTCATCCTGGCCCCCCAGGTAGGGTATGCAGCTCTGCAGATGCCACGTGCCTGAGAGGCCTCCCATCCCTAAATCCAAGAACAGCTGAGGTGCCATGGAATTGCCTGGGTGAAATGCAGAGGGGTTCAGGGTCCCAGACTGACAGTTCAGAAGACATGAGACCAGCATGGGATTGTCAGCTCCTTCCTTCTCTCCTCCTTTCTCCCTCTCCCCTCTTTTCTTCCTTTTGGAGATAAGGTCTTTCTTTGTAGCTCAAGCCTACCTCCAACCCAAGATACCCTGCCTCATCCTTCAAGCGCTAGATTATGGCACCAAGCCCAGCTTTAAAATTGTGTGTGTGTGTGTGTTTGTTTTGCTGGGGATGCACAGGCTAGACAAGGCCGTGCACATGCTAGACAAGGAGTCTACTATTGTTTTTTTCTCTGACTGCCAAGGTTTTTGTAATGTGTAGATGTTACCCAGCCTCCCCTCCAAAGACAACCTCACCATCTACCATGACCACCAAAAGGGGCTGATGCAGTTCAATTATAACAGCCTCCCCAGAGTGGTGAGGGCCTAGGCTCCATCCCCAGTATGGGAGAACTGGGCAGCTGGGTATGGGAGGCTGAGTACGGTGGCCCATGTATTCAATCCTTGCACGAGGTTTCAAAACCAGCTTTGGCTACATAGCAAGTTTTGAGGTTAGCCTGAGCTACAGGGGACTATCTTAAAAAGCCCAGATCATCCATGAAACCGCATAATGGAACCGGTGCATTACCAAGCTAAGAAAAACTTTTGAGACCATCTGTTCAGGCCTTGCCTATGAAGTTGCTTCTAGATGAGGAACTAGTCAGCAAGAGTGGGGGGAATTTGCTGTGTCCCACATCTCCCAGCCTCAGGCAGGGCAGGGATGGACCTTGAGCCCAGGTCTTTGCACTTGGGACTCAGGGAAGGCATGTGCTCTGCCCATCTTCCTCAGAAACTCCCCAACTCTCTAGAAACCAGCCAGAAGTCTCTTCCAGCTCTGGGAGTGGCTGGGTTCTAGCCGCTCCCATCCTAGGAGGCCCTGGAACCTGAAAGAACCTTGGCTTGAACCTGGGCTTTGCTACGTATTCTCCAGGTGACCTGGACGAGTTACATAACCTCCCATCCCTGGGTTTCTTATCTGCTAAGTGAAGATAATGACAGAACACGCCAGGCCTTCGTTATGATCCCAGTCACCGTGTGGGGAGCACAATGACAGGATGGAGATGCGTGTGCACTTCCTGATGCCAGGAACCGCTGTTTGTTGCCTAACGTGGAAAATGTGACTAAGGGACTTGAGCTGGAAGGCAGCCTGGAATATCCAGAGGGCACAGTAATCACAAGGGCCCTTCAACATGCACGAGGAGGCTGGAGGGCCAAATCCAAGGAAAAAATTTGGGAATGGGAGCAAGGGGTAGAGCGATGTGAGTGCTGGCAGCGGTGATCAGCCAAGGGGTACTGGCTGCCCATCCATGGAAGCTGGGGGAAGCAAAGGTGCACATTTTTCTGAATGAAAACTCAAGTTTTCAGAGGGAACACCACTCTGCCATGCGTTTAGAAATTCAGAAGTTTAAACCTTGAACTTGAGATATCTCAAGAGCTTGAGATAATTGTGTTGTGTTAACCATGAAACTTGAACATGTGCACACAACTGTTGAAAGGTAACCAAAAGCAAATGGTAAGTGTTCCATGTCCCAGAATCCTAATTTCACTGCCATGAACACATTTGTATTATAGGCCTGTGACCCCAGCTGCTGGCAAGGCGAGCTCCTGGCTTGGAGGCACAGTGATGTAGGACACCTTTCCCAGGACCAAACCAGTCCCATGTCTGTGGGAGCATGCAGAGGGAGTGGCCTGCTTGAGAGAATGATGAAAGCAGCCCCCCACAGGAGCAGCTTCTTAGATCTTTCAGGGGTGGGGCAGGAATCTGAGCAGCTTACCTGTTGGCCTCCAGCCTGTTCTCCAGTCTCGTCTTTCTCTTTGGCTCATTACTGAAATCATGGTTGCTAGCTCGTTGAGCCAATATATGCTCAGTTCCGTGGTCATCAACTCACTTCCAGTTACCTTGAGACATCCCGTTAGGTTGGAGGTCAGCTTTCTCCCTTAGTAATTTACCTGTCAGAAAACTGCAGCCTAGAGCTGCTAAGGCTCTTGCCCCTCAGCCTTGAGATGGTGCCAGTGGGGCCACGAATCAGGCCTGGTTTCTAGTTTTCAGACGGTGGCTTCTGACTTCTGAAGCCTTCATATTCTTTTCAGGGACATTGTGGCTCAGGGATTGGGATCCAAGACATTAGAGTACAGAACTCTGGGACAACCTGTTACTGAGCATTAAACGTGCTCCTGTTTTGGTATGTAGCCCAGGCTTCTCTCAGACTTGGGGTAATCTATACCACGCTCATTTTCTTCCCCTGTCCCCTTCACACTTCCTTGCTAGTGTCTGTCACTTTATCACAGGACATTTGGCTTAAGCCAGTCTAAACATTGCCTTTCTGGACAGGAAGTCCTTCTGGACAGATCAACAATAAAATGGGGTCATCCTAGATTGAGACCGGGGTTGGCCGCTGTTAGGTGTTGGGTGCCCAGGGCTGGACCAGGGAGTGGAGACAGAGCCATCATTATGGGTTCTACCACCACCATCACTCCCTTATCTCGGGAGCCTCCACACTGACTTCTGAACTGGGCAAGTGCTGGGATGCCCTAACACTTGTGTGAGTGCTGGCAGCTTCAGGAGTCATGAATGCAGTCCATTTCACAACTTCTGTCTCAACATAGCCGATTATCTGTACAGGGCAGTGCAGGGACTCTGTCCTTGCTGGGCCTGGCACCAGAGACTTGCCAAACATTTATTGGATGAATGACATTGGTACACTAAAGGCTCCCAGACTGACAAAGGGTTATAGGAAGGCACAGGCCTTCACTGGTGCCAGCCGCTTCTAGGAACATGTACCTGATGTTCTAGATGGTGCTGGTAGGGATGGGGAGCTGGGGCTGGGGAGGGTCTCCCTAAGCAGGCTGGATCCCCAAGGTTTCCTGATGGACAGCCCTCTTACAGTGAGGGTATTGTCACCAACTTTGCATGTTGCTTCTGCCTCCTGCTCAGGAGAATTAAGAATTTTGTGGTTGAGTGGGTGGGGCCTGGCACCAGCACAAAGACAGCCAGAAAGTCCCCTTCCCTGAGCCCGGAGAGTGAATCCTGCTGCCCTGGATACCCACCCTACCTCTAGCTGAAGGCGCCTGGTGACGCTGCCAGAAGCACCTGTGGCAAAAGGTGTACTGACTTCTTGGGAGTCCTTAGGGCCCATTACCAGCTCCAAACCCATCTCGCCTCTCAGCAGTGTGCCCAGATTCAGGACTTCCAGGAGCTCGCCCAAGATGGCACCCTCTCCTCTGAACAATCCCATTGTAATCTGGGGCTCAAAGGCTTTCCCATGTGCCCCTCTCTGAAAGATTTTTATCTGTATGAGTATATGCCATCTGTGTACTGGTGTCTGTGGAGTGTGCCAGAGCCCTTGGAACTGGAGTTCTAGGTGGAGTGAGTTTCAGGAAGTTGGTGCTCTTAACCACTGAGCCATCCTTCCAGCCTCTCTCACTCTTTCTAAATGCCCGATATTCTCAGTCATTGAGCTTTCTTCTCACAAGACTTAAGCTCTCTCAGCTGTGCCTGGGACCTGTTGGAAATTTTGCCCTGTACTGAAATCTGGGCGTGGACAGAGGAAAACAATAGGAAAAGCCCCTCTCTGTCCTATGCTGACGTCACATCATCCAGCTGACTGAGGTCACCCCATAAAGATTCCAGCCAGGGTTAACTCAAGGCTCTCCTTCCTGAGGACCCCAAGGAATCCATTTCCCACCCAACTCTGCAAACACATGTCCCTGCCGAGGAGTTGGAATCCACGTGGCTGTCTGGGACACAGATGAGGCTGACTTGTCAGGCTCAGAAGGCAAGGTGACAGGAGTGTTGCTCAGAGCCCCACCCTAAGCCTGGGGATTTCTCCAGATACCTGTGTCCCTCCATCCCTACCCCATGTGGTTCTCCTAGCTAGACTCTGAACTGTCAGGGAAACAGCATATCAGTTAGAACATAATAAGGTTTTTATTTCCACAACCTCCTACTGTCCAACCAAGTTACTAAGTTGTAAATGTCCCACACAAACAAGGACAAAATGTCTTAGCAACTTGAAGCTGGAGAATGTTTTAAGCCTTTTTTTTTTAAGTTTAACAGAAATGAGAAAGAAAAAATACTTCTTACATTTTCAAAGAACAGAAATAGCAAAGTATATTCATATACATTCAACATATATTGCGCATATTGGTTACTACAACATAAAGCAATGGTGATCTTGAAAATAGTTTGCAAGATGGCACGGTTAATAGGCTCACTGGCTTTCATCTGGGTGGCTCTGGAGGGTGGCGTCTGTTCTTCCATCAATCCAGTACCATGTAAACAGGTCAGGCCCAGCATGCGGAGCAGCAGGGCATGCCCGGGACATCAGAGGTGGACTGAGCTTAGAAGTCAACAGTGGCTCTTCAAGCTTTCTTGGGAAGTCAGACTTCTGGTGGGTAATTGGTGACCCCATGAAGTGGAGGGGAGATCGGAGGATATGGGACCATGGAACGGGTCCCTAGCAAAGCTCTTGCATTGAAAACAATTCCACTCAAGAGACGGTGGGCTCGGAA